TTTTGCATGGACAGTCATCATCAAACCGTCTAAGATACCAAACTTTTTGGGAACCACCTGTAAAGAAAAATAATGGAAAACAGGTGTAAAGAATATAGTAATCTTTCTACACTAGATTTAAAAAGAAAAAAAAGATTAAATCATTTAAAAGAATCCCTTGAAGAGGAGCATGCACCTATAAGAAAAAGATAATCTTAAAAGATTTTTTTGTCTATTTGACAAGTAAAATTAACTGTGGTTCTTGAAATTAGAGAATACAATTCAACCTTGGCAAATGGAGCAAGGGTGGTACAGTTAGTATTGGAAACAAATGTCATGCTTGGCTTGTGAGTTTTCTCATGTACGCCAATGGAGCTGATATTACAACCTTCTTTGTACCATCCTATAGAAAAAGGTCAATAGTGTTAAATTTGACAGTTACTCATACCAGATCAGAGAAGACACGAAACAACCTGAATAAACACAAGATTCCATATCTCAATGCATGTAGGATCGTCATTTTTTACGAGCAAAGCAGCCTCACGATCACCAATTCCATCGAAATGAATTTCTGTGTAAGGTCCACAAGCCCAGTATTTCCCATCTCGCAAAAATTGTCTTATTTGAAGTTATGAAAGGACTTAAAATAAACACTTTCAAAGATTTCTTGATAAAAACATGCCTTTCCATTAATAATTATTTTCTTATTAAAAGGAAAAGTAACTATTAAATGTAAGGGCCCCAGACACTGGACCCAACCACCAAATCCAGTTGAAATACTATCAGGTTTATTTTAATAAGTGCTAAAAACATAAAATGAACGTACTTTACAACCAAAAGGCAAAACACAGGCAGGAGGGATGAATTTGAGCAAATTATACCCTGCTTCAGAATTGACAGCAAGGCCAAGTTTCTCGTCGCCGTCAAAATAAGTGGCATAAATTCTATCTTGAGGTAATTTATACACCTGAAAGAAATGATAAAGTTGAAAATTAAAAAAATGAATCAGTTTTGGATGCATGTTCGTATACAAACGCACAACAGAAGTGCGAGGGACTTGCCTTATTTAGAAGCCCCCAAGCCCACTGAACTGCATTATTGTTAAAATAGTCTCCAACTGACCAATTATTAAGCATTCTGAAGAAGGTATGATGATAAGTGTCCTTGCCCACGTCGTCGAGATCGTTGTGCTTGCCACCTGCTCGGATGCACTTCTGAGTATTACAAGCGCGGGTTAGTTTGCTTAACTCAGTGTTGGGATCGACCGCACCCAAGAATATCGGCTTGAACTGATTCATACCTGCCATATACATACAAGCAGCAATATCAGTAAACAATTTCCAGGGATAAAAAAAGAAAAGTGTTAGGGAATTCATAAAAGGGAAAAAATTTACCGGCATTAGCAAAGAGAAGGGTAGGATCGTTGTGAGGAACAACGGGGCTTGATTTCCAATGGACATGGCCTTTATCCTCAAAGAATTTAATGAACGTATCCCTGACTCGGCTGGCCGGCCACTCCAATTCACTCGACTGAGATCCCATCGCTGATTCCGATAACGCTTCTTCTCTTCTACTACTACTGCTGCTATAGCTAATACTGCGTCTCAGAAAGAGACGAATCCTAGTATTCCAAAACGCTGCAGATAGTGAAGCAGCTGCAGGCAATGGTAAACGATTATTGCGTGAATGAGGTGGCGGCGGAGGAACTATAGAAAGTAGGGTGCGGAATGGTAACGCCAAAGGATGGGAGAAAATGTTCGACTTACGATATACCCTCATCCATGGACCGAATCTTCCAAATGCCAACCGCCTTTTATTATGGTTATATTATTTGTTTAATTAAATGTCTCTCTCTGCATCTAAATATTCCTGCAATCAAATTGGCGGATTCGATTCCACGTCCCAAAAATACAAATGCGAGGAATATATGAGAAAAACATTAGAGGTCACTCCACTCTAAGCTATGTTGGATTCACTTTAATTTATTTCTTATACTATTTTTAATCACATATGTACACAATAAAATATTCAACACATAAATTCAAAAAAATTTCTTACTTTTTAATCAAACATTTTCCTAAAAATAGTAAAATACTTTTTAGAAAAATCAAAACTATGTTTTTTAAAGATTGAACCCCAACTTTAAAGGTCCCCCACCGCTCCGTTCCTAGAACATCGTGAGAGAGATTAATCTTGGAATGTGCTCCAACAGGTCAAGGAACAAGAGTTGTATGTACACTGGTGTCCACAAAGAGTCTCAATTCATGTTTCAGAAATCGAACCCTCACACTTTGACTGCTAACAAGATTGAGTATACTTCACTCTTATCCTTTACATCATTGGGATTTATCCCGGGGGACTCAAAACTATGTTTTTTAAATTGCAAGGCCACCAAACAAGCTAGCCAATTTCAATTTATTAATTCAAAATTGAATAACTATAAATTCAATACTCATTTTGCTTTTGAAAATATGTTTGATTAAACCCTTGTTTGACAATCTTTATTTGGAAAAAAATAATATTTTGAATAGTAATTTTTAGATGAGTAAGTGGTCAAAAAGTAGGAAAAATTTTAAATTAATTTGCATAATATTTTATTTCGTGAACATATAATTGAAAATGAGTGCATAGAAAAAATAGTTTTCCAATAATGATTGTGAAAGAAGAAACTCAATGAGTAATTAAGTTAATTTTAAAATATATCATTTTCTTCATTGAAGTTTTATTTTTTCATTTATTCATATAAAAGCTACCTATGTTTATGTTTAGGTATAATTGTTTCTACTTTGGCTTACAGACCAGTCTACTAATAGAAAAAATTAGTAAAGTTTGAGGGGAACAACTTTACCTCTAATCGAATTGAACAATAATAAAAGTCATAGAATGTATTGTTATATCACCAATATAGACATGAATATGATAATCGAACTTGAACACTAGCATGTTGTTAGGGGCGGAGCCCAATGAAGTCCAGTACAAGCATATGCTCGCACTGAACTTTTGGGCATATATATATATATATATTTTTTTTTTTTTTAAAAATTTAAATGTTAACAGTCTTTGGGCCGACTGTTAACAGTCATGGGCCGATTAGACTGTTTTTTCTGTTAACAGTCGGCCCAAAGACTGATTTGTCTATTAAAAGTCGGCTCAAGATTGTTAAACCTGACTGTTAACAGTCGACATCGTTCAGAAGGCCTTTCTTCGTTGGAAATCATCATTTTTGACAATGAGAGGTCCAAAAAATTAACATTTTCCACCCAAACACCACACAATCTAGTTCTACTCATGCTTAAACCGAATAAATGTAAAAAATTTCAATTGATTTTATAACAACAAAAATTACGAATATTTTTTTAATTGATTATATAACAACTAACCGAAATGATTTCCCCTGGGGATAGATAATGGTCGTTGATCCAAGTCGCGCATCGATCAGTCCGTGGTTGATCGGAAAATGTGACAATTGGGGTGTCGATTTTCTTTAGATCTCAGAGTTAGCTTCCAAAACAGTTTGTCAATGGTAAAATCGTCCTTTTGTGTCTAAAGTTATTTTTTAACTTTTTTTATTTTTTTAATTGAATTAATGGTTAAAGTCGCATGTTAAAATTTGCTAGAGTGATAGAGTCATTTTTGCGTATTTCCTCTAAATAAACACGGGCTTAAATTGATAGATCTAACAAGCGGCTAAGGGAGTTTTCCTTGGCACCAGTTGATCTTGTGTAATTCGTAAGTGCAATTGATCGAGCAACAGGTGCAAGGTTTCGCGCCAATAGATCTTCTATTGCAGTGATTTCTACTCAATTTCTTCATCCCAAGGTTAGTATCACCAATTGATCTTTTATTTCTGTTATTTCTACTCAAAATTGTTTCTTGATGGTAATCTTCCTCTAGCAACAGAGATTTTCTCGATAATATATCTTGAATTTTTATGCGAATGGTCATGAAAAACTAAAATTGATTAATATATTCGACTCTTTCAACACTCTGTCAGTATTTTTGCTTCGTCCCCTCCCCCTGCAGGGAATCGGGGAAGGTGGGAGGACGTAGGGGGGCAGGGTCGGGAAATGGGGGAGAGGCTTTGAGGGAGATGGGGCTGGGGGATATGGGAGAGAGTTGAGGAAAGAGAAAACGAGAGGAGTGGACTGTGAATAATTTGCTAACTTTTTTACTTTTACTTATATACCGATTATTTTTAAAACAACAGTTATGTTTCTGTAAAATAATAAATATACTTATTTTTCAAAAAATGATCTTCTCTAAAACAAAACAAATTTATTTATAACCTTGCTACCAAGCATTCTGAATTGAGTTGCTTAATTTTAATTTATCTTAATAAGATATTTGAACATCAATTTACTTTTAATATTTGTCACTCTGTTGGTTATTATTACTAAAAATTAACTTCTCAATTCTACCTGGACATCAAAATTTGATGGCAATCAACCATTTCTTATGTTTCTACGTAAATGTCACCCAATCAAGTTTAGGAGAGACTATATGCTACCTAATTATGATCTGGTAGGCATTTTTAACTTTAACGTGTGAAAATTGTTAGCAGATCTAGTTTAACAAAAGATCTAATGGATTTAAGTTTTATTAATAGGGCAACAGAAGGGGACAAGAGGCTAAAGGTTTCTCTGGGCACATCTTGTGTTGCAATGATTTCTACTCAACTTCTTCATCTCCGAACTTGGAAGGTTAGTATCACATTATATGTATAAAAATGTGCTTTATATGTTGGTTTTGTACTTGATTTGATTGTTGTCAGTGATTTAATTTCAACATAAATAGCCATTCTCATCTTCTAGCTCCATGGAATTTATTTTTTCCCCCAAAATTGTTGTTTCTTGATGGTAATCTTCCTTATGCAACAGCGATTTTTCTGTAAAATATCGCTCTTGAATTTTTGATGGGGTTGGTTGTAGTGGTTTTCTCCTTGCCTTTGTAACCACCTGCCTCAAGTGTAATAGGTGTTATTTTCAAAATTTTAAAAAAAAAAAAAAATTTTTTTTTTTTTTTTTTTTTGGTGTTTTGAGGTGGTGTTGTGGTGATTCTCAAAATTTAAAATTTTTTTTTTTGTTTTTTGTTTTTTGTTTTGAGAAACTAACAAAAAGAACGCATTTTCAACAATTTCAAAATAAACACTCAAAACACAAAACTCAAAATGAATTCAAAACTCAAAACACAAAACTGAAACACAAAGAAAACACGCCCTAAAGGTTTCTCTGGGCACATCTTGTGTTGCAATGATTTCTACTCAACTTCTTCATCTCCGAACTTGGAAGGTTAGTATCACATTATATGTATAAAAATGTGCTTTATATGTTGGTTTTGTACTTGATTTGATTGTTGTCAGTGATTTAATTTCAACATAAATAGCCATTCTCATCTTCTAGCTCCATGGAATTTATTTTTTCCCCCAAAATTGTTGTTTCTTGATGGTAATCTTCCTTATGCAACAGCGATTTTTCTGTAAAATATCGCTCTTGAATTTTTGATGGCGTTGGTTGTAGTGGTTTTCTCCTTGCCTTTGTAACCACCTGCCTCAAGTGTAATAGGTGAACTCAATAACTCAACGTACAATACTCAGCATATACATGAAAATGACAAACCCAGAACGATATATACATAAAATGGTGCACCTCAATGATGTTGCCGTCCGGCTACTGGAGAGTGTAGTAAAAAAGGGCATCAGACGCAGAAATGGAGCAACCTCGCTGTCAACCAGGCGCTGCAGCTTCTTCATGTCTCCATAAGCTGTTGCCTTCAAGAAGTCATTCTGCTTGCTCTCATCATCCACCACCATCTTAGCCACTGGCTGCTTCTGATTTTCCGATTCCACTTCTTCGACTACCTCGATCTGCAATGCCATATTAAATATTCGAAAAGTGGGATTTTTTGGGGGGAACTCAGAATATTTTTCAAAGCAATAAATTGATCAAAGAATTTAGTTAATATAGGGTTTTTTCTTGGAAGGAGAGGGAGTTGACTGGATTGGTATAAGGAATTGAAGAAATAGTGGGAGTCAGAAGTAGGCAACTCCGTGTTTCCGAACTTCTCTTGTACAAATATGTTTTGCTGTCTAGGACATTGAGGGAAACAAATAATGAAAGATATACTGGGGGTTGTTAGTTGTTCTTTGTGCTCTTGATAAGTAAATAACTGGATAATTAATCCCCTCTTCTACAATAAATTTTCCATTATTTGTAACATTCATTGCCAATTCTTCTAGCAAAATCCTCCTTTTTTCCTTGTGGGCATCTCTCTCTCTCTCTCTCTTTGGGTTTTTCATGAATTCTTCTTTATTCTTATTATTTTTGGAGTAATGTAAAACTCTTTGATTCTATAATATCAAAAAACTGAAAGTCATTTCTTTTCTTTTCTTTTTTCTTCCCCTAGCTTTTGTTGTGAAAGGAGGTTCCCATCTTCAATTAACAATTTTTTTTTATTTTATTATTATTTTTTTTTGGGCTTTTTATTCATGGCAGTTATTGAGGCTCCTCGCACTTGGAGAAAGATAAAAGTATGATTTGCACAGCAATTGATACGTTTTATGTGACAGACGAAGAACTATGGAACTCGCCTTCTAGGAGAGATGGGATAGATGAAGCTACAGAAATGACACTTCGAATTTATGGTTGTGATCTCATTCAAGAGAGCAGTATTTTGCTCAAATTGTACCCTTATTTATTTTAATTTTCCTTATGGTCTTCTTATTTGTTTCAGTGTGTGCTTTACTCCACTTGGTTCTAATATATGAGGACTGGAGGATGATGTCATTTCTTCTTTTCTCACGAGTAAAATGAGTAATAAAATTATAGTTTAATTGCATTGTTATTTCCTTAAAACTTTTCACACAGACCTCAAGCTGTGATGGCCACTGGTCAGGTCTTATTCCATTGTTTCTACTGCAAGAAGTCATTTGCTAGATTTGACGTGAAGGTTCCCTTTTTTTTTTTTTTTTTTTTTTTTTTTTTTTTTTTTTCCCCTTTTTTTAAATTTTTTTTTTTTTTTTTTATTTTTTCGCTAAAGCAATTTTTTTTCCCTATCCCGCAAATTTTTTTTGTTTAAATAAAAAGATTTTTTTTTTTCTTTTTTTTTTTTTTTTTTTTTTTGCCTGTTAATGCTTCCCAATTTTACAATAGTTTAGTTGCGTTTCACAATTTCATTAGCTTTGTTCTCTTCTGACATAGAACCAGACTTGGTTTGCACACAGAGGGTTGCTGCAAGTTGTGTATGGCTTGCTTCCAAACTTGAAGGAAGTCCTAGGAAAGCAAGGCAAGTCCTCATTGTTTTTCACAGGATGGAATGTAGGAGGGAAAACTTACCCATAGAGCATGTGGACACATATTCTAAGGTTGGGTGTCAATTTTAATCTTGTATTCTGGATCAGTGCTATTAATTTTTAATTTATTATATAAATACTTTCGATTTTCTGGTGAAGTTATGTAAGGTTGGATATTGACTTTAATATTGCGTTTTTGATCGGTGCTATTGATTTTGTTGTTTATTAAATTACTATTTTTCTGTAATCTGTTGAAATCATAGGTTGTCTTGTCTTATATTTCATACTATGGGGTTGTGCAAAGCAGGTGTAAGAACTGGATTACATTCTTTAATCCCTGAATTTTATGATAGCATAGAGATACCCCTTATTTTTTCTCAATATTTTCGAAACCTCCCCCTTAGCATAAATTTCTCACTTTGTCGTTCTATCTTATTTTATCTTATCTTACGAATATAATTATATCTGCTTTCTTATTTAATCTTAGTCATATGTTTTGTGAATATTGAACTATGTTTGTCGATAGAAATATGTGGATCTGAAGGCAGATTTGATCAGAACAGAGAGGCATCTTTTCAAAGAAATGGGTTTTATCTGCCATGTTGAGCATCCTCATAAGTTTATATCGAATTATCTTGCTACTCTTGGAACTCCTCCAGAACTGAGACAAGAAGCTTGGAATCTTGCAAATGATAGGTAAAGCCTTTGTGATTTACCAAGACTAAAATGGTCTCAAGGCACGCTCGTCGTCTTTCGGGTAGTCAAATTTTTCCTATTTCGTGTAAATTTTGGGACTTCTGCAATTTCACCATAGGCGATTTTTGGCCATTTAAATATCAATTTGTTGGTCACTTCTAGGGCTTCTTTTGTTGGGTCTTCTTCCTCTTTCATTTTTCTTTCTTTCTCCTTCCTTTCTTTTCTTCTTATTCTTTTCATTTTTCTTGGTATCTTAGGGCAAAATCAAGAGCAAAAAGGATAATACATTTGGAAAAATAGTTGGGGGAAATCAAGATCAAACTATCAAGAATCCAAATTCAAAAAGGGTTTTATCTTCACTTTGTATTTTCTTCATTATTATCTTATATTTGCAATGTATTGTAAGAAATATTCTCCTTTACTTTATTTGTATAAAATGGGCTAGCTATTAGTGTTGGGATTTATGGTTGTAATTTTACCTAGTCTTAATTAATTTCAATATTTGCTTTTTAATATTAAAATGCTTATTTCAATGTGTTATTATTATTATTATTATTATTATTATTATTATTGCCTTTTAATATTAAAATGCTTATTTTCATGCGTATTTATTATTGTGTTGAATGTCTTTCATTTATTTGGTCATTAAGTGATTGAGTTTAGTGATTTGTACATCGTTCAAAAAAATTGTACATTTTTTACCAAATAGTAAATACCATAGGTTTATTTGTATAGGAGATAGAAATATACTCCTAACCCTCGGTGGCCCATTGAGCTATTTTCAAAATGATTTAATGTGGTTATTTGGTTTTAATCGACATAGAGATATAGTAAATTAAATCAATCAATTAGAGTTAATTGTGCTTGAGAAAGATAATTAGCCAAAATTGAAAAATCGAATCTAATATCGTAAATGAATAATTTATTAATTGACTTTTGGATAAATTAATTAGGCAATGGTTAAGTGAAACCATGAATTTCAACTATGTTTGCTTCTGAAATTTACAAGTTTTTATTTTTTCTTCTTTTGATATAGTTTTTAGTTGTTTCTCATTGTCAATATCATAATTCCATCGTAAATGAATAATTCATTAATTGACTTCTGGAGAAATTAATTAGGCAATGGTTAAGTGAAACCATGAATTTCAACTATGTTTGCTTCTGAAATTTACAAGTTTTTATTTTTTCTTCTTTTGATATAGTTTTTAGTTGTTTCTCATTGTCAATATCATAATTCTAATTTTGTGTGTCTGTTTCGTTATTAGAATTAAATTAATTAAAGTTATGTAATTTAAAGTAGACATTTTTCGAGAGATTGATATCTCGAACTCAAAATATCCACTTTATTACTACAGTGCGACATATGCACTTTCAAGTTTGCGTTTTCTTAGCGAACATCAACACTTCGTTACCCTCTCTAGGATAAAAAATACCAATCCCAGCTTTAATTTGTCCAGCATGTGTTTGCATCTCCAAAAAAAGAAGCTATATTTAAAGAGAGAGAGAGAGAGAGAGAGAGAGAATAAAATAAAATTATTATTAAAAAGAATTAAAAATGAAATTGAATTTAAAAAAAAAAAATTCAAATTTGGGTCCGAATGGCAACGTCTCCACCCACAAAAAAAAAAAAAAAAAAAAAAAAAAAAAACTTTTAATTTTTTTTTGGGAATTTTTAACCCGTCACCATTCATAGAAAATAATCTTACACAAGACCAAGATAACCACCATTACCTCCCATCGACGCTATCCCATGGCTAGAACTCTTCAACCGAATCATTTGGACCTTTCTTGAATTGCCTTTCCGCCTCTGACAGTCTAAGAAGTCTCCGATCCAGCGCCAATGCGTCCACGTACTGGAAATCATATCTGCTTCCCACGGTGACGTTTTGTCACCTTTCCTCTCTAGGATGCTCTCTTCCATCCTTCGTCGCCTCTGCAACCCCGACTCCACCTTCTGCTTCGCCTGTGTCGACGTGATAACCTCCATCACCACACACGTCACAAAATCTACTCCATTCTCAAACCCGTTGTAGATACTATTTTGAACGAGTAAGACCAGAACTCACAGATCGGTGCTTCGCTCTGCCTAGCAATCGCAATGGAGGCGGTTCAGGACCAACACGATGGAGCTGAAAACCCTGTTGCAAAGGCTGCTGAAAGCATTGTGAGCGTTGGTGCTTGTTCTTTGATGTAATAAGTGAGAGTTGTGAGGGAGAAAATGAATCGAGCTTTAGAGATGTGGAGAAATGTTCCAATAGGAGGTGGGATGTGGGGGTGGGTGTAGGAAGGAGAAGATGAACAGTGAATGACTTTTGATTTTTTTTTTTAAATTTTAATTCAAAGTTATAATTTTACCCATTCTAAAATTGGTCAAACTCAATTTATTGGGTCAACTAACGGTTAAACTAACAGAAGCCATCTGTTTGGACCTCAATTGCAAATTTTTTAAAGATTTGGTACTTACGTTGACACAAATGAAAGATTTGGACAAAATCTACTAATAAACTAAAAATTGGGTACCTTGACTGCAATTTTCCCTTTTATATATTTCTTCTATTCTTAACATATATCTACCTCAGTCAATGTACTATAACCATATATTCATAGATTAAAACAAGACTAAAGGTTAAGAATCAAAGATCTATTTACCAGTTATTAAAATCACGAAATTTAAACCAAAAATAAAATTAAAAAAAAAAACCTTGGATTAAATGTATAGAAGATGACGGTGATGAATAATTGAAGCCGATTTCGTCCGTTCCTCCCCGCCCACCCTCTTTTTTTTTTTTTTTAATTTTCATTACCCTTTTTTATTTTACCTAAAAAATAATTGAAGCTAGTATTTTAAATGTTTGATTCTTTTGTTGCAACAACCGCGCCATGTGTACATGGTTGGACTTTAGAGGGTCGATATAGGCAAGACACACCGGGTAAAGTAGATGGTTCATTTATTGGGGTGGGCGGGGGAATCACATGGGCTAACCCCATGTGAGGTCTGTGCGTCTGTTTAGCTCCCATTAATACACATTACATTACATTACATTTTTTTGCCAATTTTCTATCTCCTTTTTTTGACTCAAGTGGGCTCCATAGCTATGACATCACTGAACATTTTGTAGGGAGCCCTTCTTTAAAAGTGGGAATCGCATGGGCTAACCCCATGTGAGGTCTGTGCGTCTGTTTAGCTCCCATTAATACACATTACATTACATTTTTTGCTAATTTTGTCTCTCCTTTTTTTTGACTCAAGTGGGTTCCATAGCTATGACATCATTGAACATTTTGTAGGGAGCCCTTCTTTAAAGGTGGATTGTTGGCAAAAATGACGAAAACACCCTCATTTGTCAAGAGTAGGGGAGTAGTTGAGAGGGCATGATCGTAACTTTGCCCTACCACATTAATGTAGCCTCTTGTTACGCGCATACACCACAATCTGAATTGTGTGACAACTGGGCCCCATTGGATTGAAAATTTACAAATGATGTGTTTTAACCCATGTTTGAGCCACCACATTTTAGGAAATAAAATGTATTATTCATGTCAAATGAATAAAAAATATGTGATTAAAAATAAGAAAAAGTTTTAAATTTACGTGTAATATTATTTTATTAAAGAATGCATAGTTCAAATGATATCAAATTATTGTTGAAGGATGTATTTTTTTGAAAATAATGTAGCTTAATGTGTTTAATGAGGCCAAACAAGGGCTAAAGGCAGTGTGAAATCATTCTATGTGCACACATAATTATTCTGGCCCCATGTGAGGTCTGCAAAGACCATGTGAAATGGAATTATTTCTAATGCCTTCTCACCAATAATTGCATTCTTTAATGATGAATTTGCTGTGTCTGAGTTGGATTATCGTGGATTTGTCAAAAGACAATCCAACTCACAATGTACGGACCAATGAAAGAAGCACTCAGTGGCAGACCACTTACCTATGGGGGGACATGTGTCCTTAGCAAAACTCGAGGGAGAATTACCCATTTCTTGCATTAACAATTCTTCCTTGATGTATAAATAATTTTCCTACTTATGCAAAAATGTACTCATAAGTGACTGCATTTCTTATACGTGAATTTTATTTATTTATTTTAGTATTTCTTTTACTTATTAGCGTATTTTTTCTTATAAGAGATCTTTTTAGTTATAAGTTACTTTTTAACTTATAAGTGAAATTTTACTTTTACTTATAAGCAAATTATTACCTATAAATGAATTTTTCACTTATAATTAATTTTTTTTAGAATACATAAGGCCTTTTTTTATATTAAAAATGAATCTACCATTCAAAGAGACGTTTATTATTTAAAAATAATTTTTTCTATTTTCAGTGAAGTTTTTAGTTTTTACTTTCTGTTGAAATTTTTGCCGATGTTTTACTAATAAGTAATTTTTTATTCTTAGTTATTTTTAATAATAATATGTGAAATTTTTAGTTTTTATTTACTTATAAGTTAATTTCCGTATTTTAGTGCAACTAATTTCATCTTAATTCATAAATGGCAACGAATAATGGTTGGAACTTCCACTGCATTTGAAGGGGCTGGATACACAGCAAAAAGAACGACTAAAGTTATCTTATATAGCTAATAATTTTATAGAAAATGTTGTTTATATATTACTGTTTATATAATCTTTTA